TCAAATCAAAACCACGTGTTACATAAACTTTCATGTACAACAAACAGAAAAAGTCTAAAAATTTTGATGTGTCCAACAAGTATGTAAGAATGAAGCTCAAGAATAGCAATCCTCTTTAGATGTAAATAATCCAGAATTATTTATTATGTGTGCAATAACTCCTAAAAATCACAAAAATCACAGAATAGATGAGGTTGGACGCGACCTCTGGAGACCATCTAATCCAATGCCCTTCCTCAAAGCATGGGCAATGAGAACCGGGTGCTTCAGACTGCATCCAGGTGGATTTTGACTGTCTCCAGAGATGGTGTCTCTGCAGTCTCTCTGGGCAACCTGTTACTGTGTTCAGCCACCCTCAAGATTCCTCAGAGCCAGAGAACTCAAAGTCAGGTCACAGGCAAGTGAGTTTCAGGTTGCTATTTTATTTTATTTTAAATGATGCAAATTAATTTCTGCTAAAAAGTAGTTCTGGAAAATCAAGTCCCCTAATTGATAGGGGAGGATGTCCAGCAGGGTAGTGACCATACTGATCTGAGACTATTTCAAGACTAACAAAAATATTATTTTTAATGATATGTAGAGATGTTCAACAATTCTCACTGCCAAAAAGAAAATACGAAGTTATTCTAGACCTTTAGCATACCAGCATTTAAGAAAATATTCTGTAACGGATAACAGCACGGTGCTCCTTTGCAACACTTGAAGAAAGTGCCAATAAATTTCTGCTGATTGAAACGTGTTATTACACTATGACATAACAGAAAGCTATCTTGCTATTATCAGCCCCTAGAGACGGCTGATAAAAAATATTGCTTCAAGCCAATCAAACACAAAAGTTTTGGATTTGAGCCTTTTTTTTTGTTGCACCTCTTGGTCACAATTTTAATATGAAATACTACAATCACAAGTTCAGAAGTGGAAAAACCTTACCAAACTCTGGAAAAAGTTCATACAGGGAACATGGTGTTCATTCATTCAGGCTCAGGACATTGAAATAATATTTAAACCTCTTAATGATGTTTTCAGAACAGCTCAGCTGCATAGCAGACACTGTGACACTATGCATCTACTTAAGGCATCTGCGGATGGCAACAATACATCTTAAAAAGTTGTGCTTTCTGAAGACCATGGGAAAATCTTCTAGAGTGAGCTCTAAAATTTCCTTAGGAAATTATCATCACCTAGTTAAGAATCTGTGGGGTTAAGTACTTCCACAAACAGCTTAAGTTTATCATATTTAACCCGGTAAAAGGGGTGACTGCGTGTGTAAATTTTTCCCCTATGTGGCATAACGTGAAATGCTTATTTACAAGATGGGAAACGAAAGTGCTTTCCTACTGAATGAGTGCGACACCACTGTTGTACCTAAACTACCTGAGAACCTGACACACTTACCTTCAGGTGCTCAGTGAGTTAGCCTGACTAGTCACAGAACTGTGCTCTACTACATTTCCTGATCTAACTACATAATTACAGCTTCTTTCAATGACAGTCATACAGTCTTAGGCCGAATGAGTGGAGCCAAAGCCAGAGCTTCTCAGAACAGCTCAGAGGACACTATGCAAGAAACTATGCTGCATATCCCCACATCCTTCACAGTGTAAACATGACACGGTAGTCATTCACAATCTTTTAAGAGCTTTTTTTTTCACTGTCTCTTTTGTGAGAAGCAGCTGCTATATTCCACCCAACACAAATAACTCAAATGCCTGTTATTTGTGAATTGACATGGAACAAATGTATTACTTGGTGAAACCACACACAGGTATTCTTCTGCGGACAGCAGCAACCACAGCTGGGTGGAGACCTGACAAAAAGCACCAAGAAGCTGATCTTAATAGCTATAACTAACAGTGGGAAAGACAGTTTCTCAAGTAGCTGAATTTCAGACCGTTCAAGGCTCACCTTAAATTGCCCCCTGAAACAAATGCTACCATAAAAACTGTCCTGGTTCATATGTAACACTTTAAAAAGCTGTATTTGACAGCTATGTTGTCATAACTGTGAAATACAGACCTCCTTTACTTCAGAGCTGTGAAATATTACTTCTCTTTCCTGCTAGCTGGCAGCGGGAATTCTGCTATATCCACTATACAGTGTGTATAATAAGGAACAGATGCCGATGAATTATGATGCTGTAATTCCATTGAGGGGTTCCAGGGATGTCAAACCACAAAGGCAAAGTCTGAGCGGTTCGTGAAGTTACCTGAACAGAGCAGTGGAATTACAGCCCTGTCATGCAAAAGTTACCTTTTTAAACATGTGTGAACCTACATTTTTTTCCTTGCATCTTTTCTTCTCTTTCTTTTCCCTATACACTCATTCAGCCTCTCAATCTGCTCTCCTGTTTTTCCTCATACCTCCTCTTTTTTCTTCAGGTGAAATGCCACTCCCACCTGATTTTGGAATGCAAATTAGTTTTTCAAAAGACCACCTGATTCTGAAAAGTGGTCTGTTTTTCTACGAGCTTTTTCACAGTGGGTGTGAATGTAGTGGTGAATTCATCTAACGCCTTTACAGCCTCCCAGAAAATGATGCCAATGACATTCTGAGTAAGAGCAATATTTTAAAGCAAATTAACAAAAGACTCTGAATCCATGGGAGCACTTTCACATACTGTTACCAAAGGCAGCTGTTTATGTTATTGCCGGTACTCTACGCTTGGCTGCACGGTCTATACAGTCCTGCCAATGATGTGCCAAGATGCCTCAGCTGACCTTCATCATCTTCTGGACCAAAGACATCTTTATAAGGACATGCAGCCACCTCTTTGCTATCATGGGGACTTGGAAGACAAGATAGCCTGTACAGCAGGAGACCCAGGTGGCATAAGAACTCCTGGGGAAATCCTGGAGATTGATGTTCCAGAGGCAGCCAAGCTCAGCTCCAGCTAAATGAGCTACCTGAGCGCACGACCCAAAATACCAAGGTGGCCCTTGCAGAGCCAGCTCATGAGTGTCTGTACCATGCTACTCCTACCCACTCAGATAGCACGCTGCTGAAATCCCAGGAGTTAATTCAGGTGTCTTTGTACTCATGGAACAATTTACCCACAAATCAGGTTAGTGGAATTGGGGGGGGATTGAGTTTTCATCTTAACCATAACAGAAAAAACCCACCAAAACTTATTATCTTAGGGCCCTCTGAAGACAAGAATTCACTGAGCTCGTCTGTGTTTTGCATCTCTACACTGGTCTCCCCAAATCTCCAAACCAGAATATTAAAGATTAATACTTTTTAATAATCAATCTGAACAACAGTCAAGGAGTACAGTCTAATGAGCACAGGCCCATAATACCCACTTACTACTGCCTTTTTATTCTAAAATACTGATTGCTAAGAGACCGAAAATAAAAATCCCATCAACATATATGGCTTATGGTTATCATTACGTTGATTAGTTGTTTTAATTTGAGAATTTTGGATACGATTCCCAGTTCCAGCACATAAAATTTTCCATTGAAAGCAGATTTTGGCATTCTTTGCATGAGATACAGTGGTTAGTGTTAACATGCAACCAAAAATTTTATGCAGGCAAATAAACCTACTTCCTTTTCTTTGGGCTCACTTCCAAAACACTGGTTTTAATATATGATGTACAAATGTCCCATAACACTGCTTTATATTAAAAGTCTGAGCCAGAAATGTCCTATGAGAACACTTCTTAGGTCAGTGTTTTTCATTTGTTATTATTATTCATGCATACATACCTATATGGAAATATAGAATCACCTATAACGTATTTAATTTATTCAGAAGACAATACTTCAGGAACAAAATGTAGCACGTCCTGCTAAATGGTGTGAACACACTGAGAAAGATTTATTCACTTGACTCCTATTACGAACATCAGTTGCAGAAACATTTTGACCTTCTACTCAAAAAGATGAACGTGGTGATAAAAACCCATATGATAGCACAAAGCTGCACGTGCTGACTTTCTTCATTTAACACATGTGAATAGACATTCTCAAGCATCTCAGTGAAGCCAGGCATTCAGATAACATACAAATCAAGCAAGCCAATCTCTCTCACACACTGGAATATACTACACTTTCATTTCTGGCAAATCTGTATTTTACTTCTGTTTTAGAGACAGTCTCCTTTCTCCCTCTTCTCTTTGTGAGCAAACACACACACCTCACTTCCTTTCTAGGATCAGTAATGCACTGCAACCAGGAGCGTGACTGCGATTTGTAGATGAAACAGGATTAGAAGCTCATCCTACCAGGGATCTACTTTGGTACAAGCCCCATGAGGCTGGGAAGGACTTTAAATGCATGAGGAGGTGAGGTGTAGGATTCACAGGGAGTGTTGCGAGCGACCTTGAACAACATAGCCTTGAAGGAAATAGTCTGAGAAAGCAAGTAATGAAGCAAGCGCAGAAAGGGAGCTGAAAAATGTTTTGAAGCACAGCTGTGAGACCGAAATTAGAAGACGCGTGTCTTGATTAACAGCACCAATTAAAAGCTTAGCTGCAGCGCATGGACAGCAGGGGTTAACCAATCCATGAACAAACTAGAGCGCGTGGACAGCTAGTGAATCTGTATAAGCACAAACTTGTAAACAATAAAGGTCTTTGGTTTTACCCGCGCCAGAGTCTGTGAATCAATCCCTACAGTGAGGAGGTGGTTGGTGTGCATTGAAGGTCCATGAGGATTTAACTACAAATGGCTGGCTTCACTTAGTACATGCATACACTCCTTGAGAAGTATTGTAGACATACATACACTGCAATAGAGAGACCTCTTTGCCAATGATAAATGGTACTTCAAAAAAAAAGCAATAATATAAAATCCCTAGTTCAAAAATTCAGTTGTGAGAAACGTGGGTTTCTCCATCTATCTTTGTTGCACAAAAATACTCACATTTGTGGGTATTACACATGCACTTGTGGTAAATATAACTTAAGATCAAAATAATTTTCAGGTATATTGAAAAAGAAATGGTATTATTACTGTAAGCTTCCATTTCTGTTGGGGTTTGTTTGGTTTTTTTACCTGAACCATTATAAGATGATGATGAGGGTGTTCGCCTTGAAAAGCTTTTCACGGCAAGACTCTGCCCTCGCTGTTTCCGCCTCCAAGCTGTTCGGCATTTGGAATCTATGCTTTGCTTGATTCGATACCAATCAGATTCGGTGATTCCAAATTTGTAAAATAGGTGACCTGTAATTAGAGAGAAACACAAAAGGGTGAAAATCAGCATAAATCCGTATTTTCAGGAAAATGCATAGATGACACACAGTCACACACACAAGGTGAACAAAGCAACTCTGAAAATTGTAGAGCTGCCCTCATGCTTGACACCACCTAAAGGAATACAATGACATTACAAAAAAAGGCAAAGCTATACAGTGATGTGATTTCAATAACTATCCACAACATTAAGTAATCATACAGATGCACAGTTATGTATTTTAAAATGTCAGCAGTCTACAAAATTTTCTAATCTACACTTCTATCCATGGAAACTGCACTATTACATTCAAGCTGTGCAACACTAACCAACAGAAGGATCCAGCACTCCAAAGCCACAACTGGACAAAGCTTTATTTCTCACTGATAGTGCCCCACAATAGGTATAAGTAGGAAGCCATATAAAGCTCCCTATAAAAGAAACTCTTCTAAAGCTCAGTTCAAAGTTCATGAGAACCCAACAAAAACACAATACAAAATTATAATCTTCTGAAACTGTTATTACTAGTATTGAGTCATATAAAGAGCCACAGTATGTACTTTCCAGCATTTGGTGCTAAGTTGCCAAACTGTTGTATAAACACAACGTGGACTCCGGAGTTGAACCAAGTATTTTGAAACAAAGCTCATACAGATTGAGTCCTGCTGCCAACTCAAACCAGGTTTCTTATCCTTTGCAACCTCTGCACTCGAAGGGGAAGCCTAGTAATACAAGAAACGGAGCAAAAAGACTATTTCAGGTATGAGAAGAAATACTTGTTTCAACATCTGGACAAATGGATTTAAAACTGGGAATGAAACATGTAGTGCATTGTCAGCTGTTTCAAGGTCCTCCTAAAGTATTGCTACATACTTTTACCATTTCATTGTAAGTTTCAGAGTGGTTTATATTTGCTTAAAGCATCAACAGCTGAGAGTATCTGACTGACTGTTAAGAGAAATTTATAATCTTCGTGGCTGTAGAAAAAGCACTTGAAAAAGTAAACCCAAAGGTTCAAAACCCATGAATTGACACAGAACTATCCGAACATTTAACATTCTCTAAAGCTTCAGTACTTCTGAACTTTCCAGATTTAGATAAGCTGCAATACTGCAGTTAAACAACCCAAAGCTGTAATACATGCTTTCACTCAACGTGACTATGCTTGAAGGATCTCTTTAAGACTCTTATTTTCCTTTTGGTATCAGTTGTCTTTCATATCCTGCAAAGTAAAATAATCTTTTCAACCTACTGGGTTTTTGATCTTACACCCAAACAGGATCCTGATCCTGTGAAGTACTTCAGCTGTTATATGGTCCTACAAACAGGATATGGTCTGCGCCTGTAAGACAAATGATTTGAAGCCTACAGCCGCAAAATTCCAGGTTCGCAAAAACTAAGAGCTTTGTACTTTCCTTTGTATTATAAATGAGCCCAGAGTCCTCAGAAACTGAAATTTGCAGGTTACTGTTCTAACAAAGTCAAGTGGAGTACTGTATCTCTTAAGTCATCATCATTTTTCAAATACATTTACTTTCTGATTCTCCAAATAATTTTTTAATAGATCTGTTCAAAAAGCAATTTGAAATAAAGTAGAGAACATAGAGGAAAACACTGGCATCAAAAAGTTAATTCAAAAGCGTTTTAAAGGCCCCAAGATTTTTCACCAGCAAGTGACAGCAACCCCATTACTTAGACATTGCTCTACCACCCCCACTTTATGTCTCCAAAAAGGGAATGGGAGCAGGAAAGGAGGAAAATCAACTGAAATTATCATCTGCTGCTGTGCAACAGTTTCCTTTCCATAGGTGTCAGCAAAAGGAAAGCACAAACTGTATTGTAAATACTGAGACCATATTTCTTCGTGTAATCTATTACTAACATGCACTACATAGAGAAATGGGTTTATAAATGTTTGCAGTAATGTCCAATAAAAATAGCTGTGCTTTAACTCTTTATATGACTTCAGCTGTCAGTACATACAAAAGTACTTCTGTAGTCCTACATAAAACACAGTCATATGCTCTGTGGTTATTTTGAAAAAATGTCCATATTTCATTCATAAATACATTTTAACGACTTCCACGTTGTATGCTGCTCTGTTTAGAGAAGTGACTGAATCAATTGTAGGTCAGAGAAAACTCTCATAGAAAAGCAGTGTAGCTAGGAATTTGAACTCTTACAGTGTAACCCACGGGATATTCCAGGATGTCCCTCAATTCAGAGTGAAATCAAAAGCAATATAAATTGTTTGGGACAAGACAGTCTCAGGCGCAGTGAGCTGTTCATAGCAGGAGACCCAAGCCGTGTAGGACAAGAGCTTGAGAAAGATGATGAGTGCCAGACATAAAACGTCCCAGAAATTGTTCTACTGAGGGAAGACAGGAAAAGACCTTCTTCTACTTACTGATCACAAAAACTATCATTTAAATTGATGTGATAAGGAACACCCATGAAATACTGGATAAAGAGACCGCTCCTTTCATGGAGAAACACGACTACAGAGAAAAGCATGGAACACAGATAACAAGCTGAACAGGACACAGTCAGAGAAGAAGATTTTAGGCTAGAGAGACCCAAGACATCAGGCACAGATTTTTCAAAGCCAGGTTCGCTTATTTCTTTTCCCTTTATTCATTAAATTCCTACTCAGCGGTTACGGTGGTCAAAGGTTATATAACCGGTATAGACGAAATCCCTGTTTGCACAGATTTTTACCATAACTGCATACTCAGTCACAGTAACTGCATGTGCAAATTAGGCATGAAAAATTAGCCCTTAAGTACAAAGACAGTTGATATAAAAGTTAAATGCATTTCAGATGTATAAATCTATCCAGTTGGTATTACAATTTAAAATATTATCCTACGAACAGGTCTTTAGCAACCACATTTCATAACAGTCTACCGATGACTGAAGAAAAATCTAATGCTGACGACAGTAGAGTTTTTTTCTAAGTAGATAAAAAGTTCGCCATAACATTAGAAATATGATTTACCTGTAGTAGAGAGATACATCCCGAAAACATGTGCAAACAATATTAGAAAACTGAGGCATGCTGACTTTCTGTTCTCTATCCATAAATGATCACATGCAGGAGAGCTTTCAGCTGTCTCATTCTGAGTATGTCAAATACCAAAAAAAGTTAGAAAGGCAGCACTAAAGCAATATACTGCAAATGAGACATTTAACTTGGGGAAGTCCATATTAGAAAAGACAGAAATACTTCAGTGAGAAAGTATTTGACTTTTTCGGAACATTTGCTAGTCAAAAGCAGCATGAAGCATTGTAATTCGTAAGCAGCACAGTATCTATGAGCCACATAACCCTGCTAAAGACACAAAAAATACATTCAGCAATATAATTCAGCACTTTGGCAAAGAGACAACAGTATTTTGGAAGACAGATGCATTTATAGAAGATGACTGAAGTAAGGGATTTAGATCATCTAAGGATGGCTGACTGTGTTTTTAGTGATCTTTTTATTTCGGACAATGGATGGTTGCCGGTAACGTTCAAAACAAAGGATGTACTTGTTTTTAAACTCTAAGGGTCCAAAGTTTGCATTCTCTGGGGAACCTCACTTCCTAAACAAAGCCTTCTATGAAAACACACCAGAGACTTAAAATAGTACAGTTGTTTAATAAATTGCAAGAGCTTGAGTGATTTCTATAGACCAGATACATACGAGCAGGAGCTTGGGAGACAAAAAGGTCTGCACAAAGAATTCACAGAGATACGGGCTATTCTGAAACATGCAAAAGGGAAATCACTTCGGTTTGCGAGCAAGTACCAACGCTCTAATCTTTTCAAGCAAAAGCTTAGGACAGCATGTCTGCATCGAGAAAATTTAAGTAGTTAGTATGATGCACCTGTCGACTTTTGAAGCTAAGTTCGACCTTCCACATCCCAAATTAGAAACACAGCACATTTTTGCCGAAGTTCCTATAAAACTAAAAAGACGACTGACACAACAAGTTCTAGCATGCTTCTTGTGCACTGCAAAATAAATCTTTCTGTGGTTCAAAGAAAAAAAGCTTGGAAGTGGTACAAACACAAAGACTGTCAGCAATGATGTCTGAAATGACTATATACTCCCAAACTTTTGGGGCATTTAAGGTACAAAACAGGGAGAGAAAGGGTTGGGGTTTTTTTGAAAAAACAGAGCTAATCAGAAAACCCCATGAAAACAGTGTTCCTGAGAAAGTAATCCTCTCTTTCTTAAAGGTCAGAAGTCAGTCAGCAGACGAAACAATCCACATAAAACATTAAATTGTAAAGAAATTTAATTAAGAACAAATTGAGGAGGAAGAGAAGACATTTGTAATATCAAAACCAGACATGAAATATTCCATCTTGATACTGCATTCAAAATCAGCCTCCTAAAAACAAACTTGATGTCAATAGCTTGCATTTGGATACTGTTAGGTTGTGCTGCTTCCCATTCTCCATGAGTACCAGATTTCTTGAGACAATTAAGAGGTAAATCATTATTTTCATGGACTTGGCAGAGTTCCCTTTCCTGCCCTTTATACTGAGATGGCACAGACTTTCCCTCTGTTATTGTTACATTTTGAAAGATTAGGGAAAGTGTTACCACCAGAGAATCTAACAGCCACGTGTATAAATAAAGACATATTTACATTAAGTGTGTAATCCAAACAGATTTGGCTAACTGCTCATTCCATTTTCAAATTCAACAAAATTTTTAAAGTCCAGAGAAAAACCAACAGGATGTCATATTCAAAATTCAAAGGATCAAATTGACCAACAGAATCTTTTTTAATTGACAAGAATATGATGGATCTTATGAAAAACAAGGGCTTCAGATTCTGCCTGCACAGAATCATGAAGAGGGGCGATTATTTGGGGGTTTGGCTAACAAAACGCATTTTTTCACATAAGGGTCATACATTTGGAGTTCTTTTTATTAAACGAATAGCATATGACAACAAAATCTGCTGTACTAAATATTGAAACAGCAGAGGAA